GGGAGCCGCGGGGAGCGGGGCTCTCCCGGGCCTCGCGGCGCACCTCGCTGCTAACCCAGGCGCGGACGGACGGGCGTGCCTCTCCCGAGCTGCCCGCGCTGGGGGAGCGCTCGCCCCGCGGACTGCTCGCAGGCACGGGACGCGCTGGAAGGCTCTGTCCTGGCGTCTCCATCCAGCAACCAAAGTCCGCGCTCCGAGATGCCAACGTCCAGCCCTGCCGAGCGCTCGGGGTGATAGCGGGGCCAGCCTCAACCCCTCCGGGCCGTATTTCACCCGGCTAGCGGAGTCGGGGAGCTGTGTCTGTTACAGCCCCGACCGGACACCGAGATTCCAGAGCGAGTGTGTTACAAAGGCAGCGACGCGGCCAGCGTCTGGGCCGGGCAACGGCCCATCTACAGCTTGCTACGATTTTAAGCGGATTCTGCCTTAAAATTAAAAAGAGAAAAAGGAAAAGCAACCTTCCAGGCACTTGCAGCACAAAGACCGGCCAGCACGTGAACTCCAGAGGAAACGCAGCAGCCCCAGCCCTCCCAGCTTCAGCAGGGCTCACTCCGGAGCTGGCCTCTCCGGAGCATCGGGGCTTTCCCGCCGACGGAGACTACCCGCGCGCGGCTGCTGCCCTTCTGCGAGGCCCCAGCTCCCGCTTGGCGCTTGGGCTTTGCCTTGACGGAGAAGCACAACTACGCCAGCCCCGCTCGGGAAGCGCGTTTCCAGGCCGACACCTTGCGCAGACGACGCTCCCGCCTTGCTCAAGGGTACGTGTCTGAGGGACAAGCAAGGAAGCAACCCTGCTGGAAACCAACCCTCCTCCCCCGCCCTCCCCTCGGCGGGTGAAGGCACGTACTGCGTCGCCCAGAAAGCCCTCCAGCCGCTCTGCTGCGGTAAAGCGAGCTCTGCTCGTGCTCTGTGTCCCAGAGCCTGTTACAGCTGTCTCTGCACGCAGGAAGAGAATAAATTAAGTTGCAGAGCTGGAAACCATTTGTCATCGTGAACCGATAGCTCAGTTGTCAGCGTTGCTCCCGACAGCAGAGTAACTGCTATCTTGCGGTTAGGAAAGCACAGCGCAGGGCTGCCGAGCAAAAGAGAAATTAAGCAGAACCACGTCCCAGGAGCAACGCGGTGCCAGTTTTGGGGCACCCTCGGCGACCCCCGCTGCAGCACCGGGGCAGCAGGAGCACGGGCGCGGCGGGAACGCCGTAATGGCCCGGGAAGGAGCTTCGGCTCTGACACGTCCCCCCGCTGCAGTCCCACTGCGAGCGAACGCAGCCATCGCCCCAGCCCCTTATTTACTCCTGGGAGTCGAGGGCACGCTCCCTGCCTCGAGAACCACCCTTAGCGCTAGGAACGCTCGGTCTCCCGAGCGGAGAGCCCCCCTGGGGCTGCAAAAGTTGTCAGAATAATACCACAGCTTGCGAAAGAGCATTTTCCCGCTGGAAGCAGCCTCTCCTTGGAAAGCTCGTCTAACGCTTCCCAAACGCCGCCCTCCCGCAGCAACGTCGCCTCTCCCCGCCGCACGGTAACGCGCAACGCCTCTGCTGGCAGCGATGAAAGCGAGCCAGCGTGTGCTGCGCCACAGCGACGTCCCTCCACAAGCGGCGGAGGGCTAGCCCAGGGGTGACCCGTGCCGCTGGGACCGTTTTTTACCTTTCCCAGTTGATGGGGGCCATCCACGGTCTTCCCATCGTCATCTGGACCCCAGCTGCAAAGAGAGGCGCCGTGAAGTGACAGCCCCAGGAGCCGCAGACAGCAGCTCTTCCTCCCCGTACAGTTTGCTTGCCATTACAGCGAGCTACGAGCAGCCACCAGCGACTCCCAGCACCACGACCGGCATCGGAGGGTGCTGTGCTTTCCCATCCGTTAGGCTGGCCCCTCGCGGCTGGGGCATCGCCGTCGCGTTTGCCCTGTGCCCCTGCGTCAGATTCCAGCGGACGAAACGTTTGATTTTTATCGAACCGCCAGCTTCTCACGCATTCCAGTCCCCGTCACACGGCTCAGCCGGGGCTCCCCAAGCGCGGCGGGGGGCACGGTGCCCCCTCCAGCTCAGCCAGCCTGCGGGACGAGCTGCAGCAGCGCTCAGAAGAAGGCCTTGCGCCCCAT